GTTGTATATATCAATGGCAAATCCACTAGAGGGCGCAGTGTACATTTCTGCGATTCAGAAAAAAAACGTTACTTAGGTTATGTTTGTTGTATATATTAATGGCAACTCCACTAGAGGGCGCTGTGTACATTTCTGTGATTCAGAAAAAAAACGTTACTTAGGTTATGTTTGTTGTATATATCAATGGAAAATCCACTAGAGGGCGCTGTCTACAGTTTTGCGAATAAAAAAAACGTTACTTAGGTTATGTTTGTTGTATATATTAATGGCAACTCCACTAGAGGGCGCTGTGCACATTTCTGCGATTTAGAAAAAAACGTTACTTAGGTTATGTTTGTTGTATATATCAATGGAAAATCCACTAGAGGGCGCTGTCTACATTTTTGCGAATAAAAAAACGTTACTTAGGTCATGTTTGTTGTATATATTAGATGGCAAATCTACTATAGGGCGCTGTTTACATTTCTGCGATTCAGAAAAAAACGTTACTTGGGTTATGTTTGTTGTATATTTTAGATGGCAAATCCATTATAGGGCCCTGTTTACATTTCTGCGATTCAGAAAAAAACGTTACTTGGGTTATGTTTGTTGTATATATCAGATGGCAAATCCACTAGAGGGCGCTGTGTACATTTCTGCGAACAAGAAAAAAAAACATTACTGGGGTTATGTTTGTTGTACATTTCACATGACAACTCCACTAAAGGGTGCTGTCTACATTTGTGCGAATCTGAAATACACTAGTAGTATGCTTTGTTATACATTTCAGAGGACAAATCCATCAGAGGGCGCTGTGTACATTTTTGCAAATGTGAAATACATTAGGATAAATCCACAAAAGGGCTCTGTGTACATTTGTGTGAATCTGAAATACGCTAGTTAGGGTATGTTTGTACATTTCAGATGGTAAATCCACTAGATGCTGCTGTCTACATTTTTTGCAAATCTGTAATATATTACTTAAGGTTCGTTTTGTTGTGCGTTTTAAATACACATCCTTCTTGTACATATTCATAAGAAGGCGGAGCTTGTCATACAGATGACCTAGCGAAAACACTGACCTAAACCATTCCTTAAACCAATAGTGTTTTTAAAAGCAAACGTAAGAGAAAAAGAGTACTGCGATTGCATAGTTTTACCTTGATTTTACATTGCTTTATCTCTTTTACGAAAGTGTGTTTCACCGGTTTTGGACCTGATTGATCCGCATCACAGTACATCATACAAAGTGAGCCACGAACAAACTGACCACGCCAGAAAATTTGTTCATATGGAAATAGATAGGTGACGCAAACATAATCAATTACAAATCATCGACACTGTTAAGCTTATTTATTGTATTTATTTTATGTGGTGCAACTTGGGCAACCTTATTGGTCGATAATATGATCCTGTAAATATCATTAGTGTGAAAAGGAACAAAAGGTATGTCAAACTGCCCTCTAGTGTTCATTTTACCAAGAAACTGTTGTCAAACGTATGTTGAAAAAGTGTTTTGCCGTTTTACAAAAATGTAGGCTAAAGCATTAGCAAATAGTGAGTTCATTATTTATTAAGCATTAACTCTACATTAATAGAGATTAGTACGTAGTTTTGTTTTGCTGTACATTTCAGAAGACAACTCCACTAGAGGGCGCTGTCTACATTCTGCAAAACTGAAATCCAGTCCTAAGGATATGTTTGTTGTACATTTCAGGTGACAAATCCACTAGAGGGTGCTGTTGACATTTTTGCAAATCTGAAATACATTACTTAAGGATTGTTTTCCTGTGCGTTTGATACACATCCTTCTTGTAAATATTCATGAGAAGGCGGAGCTTGTCATCCAGACGACCTAGCGAAACACTGACCTGAACCATTCCTTAAACCAATAGTGTTTTTAAAAGCAAACGTAAGAGAAAAGAGCACTGCAATTGCATAGTTTTACCTTGATTTTACATTGCTTTATCGCTTTTACGGAAGTGTGTTTCACCGGATTTGGACCTGATCACAGTACATCATACAAAGTGAGCTACGAACAAACTGACCACGCCAGAAAATTTGTTCATATGGAGATAGATAGGTGACGCAAACATAATCAATTACAAATCATACTGTTAAAGCTGATTTACGGTATTTACTTGATGTCGTGCAACTTTATTCATCGATAATATGATCCTGTAAATATAATTAGCGTTAAAAAGAACAAAAGTAATGATTGTGTTTTCATGCTTTATTAACGAATAATTTTTCATTCATAACTAAACCAGTCATTTAAGAATAGTGTGTGTGTTTTTTAAGATCATTGAGGATGTGTAAGTAAATGATTAACAAAACTATTCAAATCAACATTTGCATATCTTATTATTCAGGCATATATTATGGTTTCCGCTACATCCATTTTTCCATGGCGGGGCGCCACACAAAAATTCATCCCGCCACGGCTACATTACAGCTTCTTATTTAAAATATTCTGTCGTTTTTTAAATAGCGGGTTAAAATCACACTGAAATCGTATTAAAAGGTAAGTGAATAATAACACCGCAAACTTTTCTGTGACCGTAGTAGTGCTGTGCGTTTTGTTTAACCCTTTAAGGTGACGTGCTGACTGACTGACTGGTGCGTGAGAACTGCAAACACGGCGTAGCTTTCAGTTATGATGAACACGGTTTCCATAATTATACTTTATTTATAGATAAAGGTATATGGCTCTGCATATAATGACTTTACCTTGCTGGAGTTTATAGCCGATCACTTTACTTCAGGATGCATTAATGCCACGGTCCGCTCCACAAGTCTATCAGAGACATTCATAAATATTCCTAGCAAATCTAATGAATGTTGGAGACATACTCGGTACTTAAACGCACTAAATCACACTTTAGCAGCGTTTATTTGAGGGCGTGCAAGAAAATCTGCACTTGAACAGCGCATATTTGAGGGCACGCAAGACATTTTGAGCACGAACCGAGAAAATCGGCGCTCAAGCAGAGATTGACATGCTCGTAGGCTATTACATGAACGCTATCTCGACTTAATACTGCGCCCATGATATTTGTCAATGAAATACCGCCACATGTAGTGGTAGATCTGTGTAAAATGGCCAACAGAGCCTGCCACCACAGCTGGAAAAAATCCTAGAGGAAACACTGTATAGTAATAGTTACTTTATATGTTAATAAACTTTAATAACTCCACTTCATCCAGTTTTGTGACCTTATCTAATGTGAGGACTATGTATGCTTTGTAAATCCCTTATATTAGTGCTTAATAAATGATTCATAGTGTGCAGTTATTCTAAAGTGTTAACAAATAATTAAAAGAGTGCAATAATAACTAGATTCTTAAAGTTTGAGAACAAACTTTAAGGCTGGCTTGTGAAAGCCTGATGGTAATAGTTTATTTAGTTTAAACAGTTTTAAAAAGTATGAAAAGAAAGATAGATAGATAGATAGATAGATAGATAGATAGATAGATAGATAGATAGATAGATAGATAGATAGATAGATAGATAGATAGATAGATAGATAGATAGATAGATAGATAGATAGATGGATGCATGGATGGTGTGCTAGCATAAGTCAAACAAGTCAACCCCCGCTTCTCTACGATGTTCTGATACTAAGATAAAGCTGCTGTTATATCGTTGCTAGGTTAGTCTGTTTTGTTGCTATGGAGTGGATTGACAGCTTAGACTGAGGATGTATCAAATCTTCTTGCCAGTATGAACAGTTAAAAGCAACACACATGTCTCTATCACACTGCAACATGACAATATCAATCTGAACCTCTATAATGGCAGTCTATGGGACCGTTGCTAGGGTGCCGTATCTGGTTGTTAGGGGTGTGGCTAGAAAGTTAAAAGCTCATCAGTTATTGGTAGTTTGGTAGTCTGAGTTAAATGAGCCCAGTTAGAAGTCTGTGCGACAGTCTGATGTAGAGTTATGAGCTCACAAAGTTTGACCCCATGTAAAGTCAATGAGAGTCTTTTGCAGTGGAAGTCTATGGGACAGTTTCTAGGGTCCCAAAAGTGGTTGCTAGGGTGTGGCCAGAAAGCAAAAAGCTCATCAATTATTGGCAGTTAGGTAGTCTGAGTTAAATGAGCTCAATTAGAAGCCTGTAGGACAGACTGATGCAGAGTTATGAGGTCACAAAGTTTGGTCCAATGTTAAGTCAATGGGATTTTTCAGAAGGTCCCGGGACGTTTTTCAGAAAACCAAAAGTCGGATCAGTCGGAAAAGATATAGCAACCCGAGTCAGACCAGTTTGGAGGTCTGGTGTGAGTTTGGTGGTCATAGCTTGAAAGCTCTAGGAGGAGATAGAGTTTAATTTTTAGTCTCAGAAGAAAAATAGGATAACAATAGTCTGGGTTGCTACACAAGCCAGCCTATTAATAATAATACCTTTTATTTTTAGGCGCCTTTCAAAGCACTCAAGAAAACCTTACAGCGGATTACAAGTACATCATAAAAATATAAGCAGTAAAAATGACAATCAGCATAAAATTAAACCAGCAAATCATTAAAAGCTATCCTAAACAAAAACGTCTTTATCTGAGATTTAAAATTGGAAATAGAGTCCATCTGGCGAATGTGCAAAGGCAGGGAATTCCGAAGCATTTTATTTTAAATACAAACTAAATCATCTTAGCATTTATCATTTAAAGCTGCTTTGGGATGTAAACACCGAGTCCTGGGGATATATTGGGGGATATGCGTCAGGTATAAATGCATCAGTGAGCAGGCGTTTTAAACAGTTATTGATCCGGGTCACACTGACAGCCCTAACTGAGGCCAGAGGTGGAGGAAGGGCCGAGATCACCAAATCACATTTATTTTGGAGAGACCTCTAAACATACACACTGAAGGAAGACTCGGTTCTAACTAAAGGATGAGCTGTATTTCTACCTGTAATGTAAAACTATAATTGTTTATAGACACAACAAACTGAATAAGCAGTAAGGGTCGATTGTAATTCATTATTTTTAAAAGTAATTTTCCCCAACACTGGTGATGGCTAACCTGTCTCCTTTAGCCCGGCGTTTCTGGACACTCTTGCCTTTGGGTCTCCGGTCGCTGCCCACACAGTGAGCTCCTCCGGGCCCCGTCACCCGCACAGACTCCAGGCCTTTGGATGACTTCTTGAAGGTGAACTCTACAGACTCACCCTCCTTCAGACTGCGGAAACCCTCCATGTGCAGTTTACTCTGAGAGAGGACACAAAGACGCCTCCGTTAGGTCACTAAAACACAATCAGGGACATGTAAAGGTCCTGTGAAAATAATAGTTATTAATAATTAATAATAATTAATTGTCTTAGTTTCAGTCTGTTCGTTTTAAGGATATAGCTAGTGCGCCCCAAACTGATAAACTTTGTATTTAAAAGAAATACAAAACATGCAATATGATGAGAATGTTTGTTTTAACGCACACAACTGCAACACTAAGCATGAACATCTGCATGTGTGATGCATGTTCTTATAGGAAATGAAAGGGAGAGCAAGTGATTTATGTGAGAAAAAAGCATGCTTTACCCTCCCCCGACCCAGGTTACAGCATTCCTGATACGCGAACGTAGGGAGATGGTCTCATTTAATATATATGTACTTATATACGGTCTTATTCAAAATATTTATACTTATATATGGTCTTATTCAATATATTTAATATATTTATACTTGTATATGGTCTTATTCAATATATATATTTATACTTATATATGGTCTTGTTCAATATATTTATACATATATATGGTCTTATTCAATATATATTTATACTTATATATGGTCTTATTCAATATATTCAATTTATTTATACATATATTCGGACTTATTCAATATATTTATACTTATATATGGTCTTATTCAATATATTTAATATATTTATACTTGTATATGGTCTTATTCAATATATTCAATATATTTATACATATATATGGTCTTATTCAATATATATTTATACTTATATATGGTCTTATTCAATATATTTATACTTATATACGGTCTTATTCAATATATTTATACTTATATATGGTCTTATTCAATATATTTATACTTATATATGGTCTTATTCAATATATTTATACATATATATGGTCTCATTCAATATATTCAATATATTTATACATATATATGGTCTTATTCAATATATTCAATTTATTTATACTTATATATGGTCTTGTTCAATATATTTATACATATATACGGTCTTATTCAATATATTTATACTTATATATTGTCTTATTCTGTAAACAATGTATGTTCTTAACTGTTTGTTCTGACTTGTTTTGTTTTATTTATTTATTTTTTTCTGTTTAGAGCAATGTTGAAGCACCTTTTTGCACAAAAGACAAATTTCCTCTCGGGGACAAATAAAGTTTATCCTAATACTTCATTCTGGATGATTTATGATTCATGGGGACCAAAATAATGTCCCCACGACATCAAAATTGCAGCTATAGTTAACTTATACTAATTACTATACATGTTGGGACATTTCTTCCCTATATTGTGATAAATACCAGGACCATATACATATGCGCACACACACATCCCCCACAGCACACATGTGTGTCTTAATCTCTCTGTCCACTGGAAGGATGCTGCTGCTGCTGCTGCTTGGGCAGAAAAAATTCTTCAAATGGTTGTTTGGCTTCAGTATTTCCTGAGGGTGGACATTTACCCCTGAACAATTAGCTCCCATGGAGGAGTGTAAACGCAGCACTTTAGCTAATTATTTATACTGTTATGCAAAATCACTTTTTATAAGAGGGTTAAACACAGTTGCGTTGCAGCAGTGTGTGAATATAACCAGCTACTAATGGTAGACACTTTGATTACACTTCATAAAACAGTCTGCAGAAACACTTTGATTGACACTCCTTCCTTTTGTACATGTCATCAGAGGGGGAAAGTCCCGCCCACTCGTAACCGTCTCTCCCTCATTATTATAGGATGTTAGTCTTGTTTTTGAATCTACCACTATGCTGACACACAGGCATTTGTAGCTCCGCCCTCTTCTGAAAAAGAGCACAATCTCATTTGAATTTAAAGCGACAGTCACCAAAACGCCACAAATAGGATCAAAGTCTAAATGGGTCAGTTTCAGAGAGTTATCAAACCTTATTAGTGTGCTAGGTATCCTTTAAATGATTAGGGATTGCATATATTTTGCCAGCCAAAAATGTTTTCGCGTTCTGGGTTCACCATGAAATAAGGTCTGTGGTAAACAACCCTAAATAGAAATACGATATACAGTTGAAATTATTAACCCCCCTTTGATTTTTTTTTTCTTTTTTAAATATTTCCCAAATGATGTTTAACAGAGCAAGGAAATTTTCACAGTATGTCTGATAATATTTTTTTTCTTCTGGAGAAAGTCTTATTTGTCCCCCAATTAAAACTAAAAAAAAAAAAAAAACTACACACATCATACATTTAGTCCTTATTTGAGTTCAAAAACACACGCAATATAGCCCACAGTCAGCGCAAACCTCTCATCTGTGTGTGTAATCTTCACCAGCACATGTAAGCTCTGTTAGAAAGTAATTTTGTCATTCCCAGTTCATTTTAGTCCAAAAGGCGAAGATAAGCATGGCATTTTCTTTGTGATTCAGGTTGCTAAAACAATTTTGCTCCTGTGTTTTCCCGGCTTCTCCTTTTTTTCCGCGCTTCACTCTTACATTTGTCCTTTTCTTTCTGAATGGATCAGATGATGGAGACGCTTCAATAATCACGCACACGTTATGATCATCAGCTCAAGAAGTTTGTTATATCAAATATAGACGCGATCGCTAGCTCTGTGGAGAAAGCGAAAACCGCTCGCACTTTTAGACGGACTCGTAAAGCAACAACAGGACACGGCAGATTTTGTTCTTCTTAGCTTTGTGTTTGTTCGTCAAGACGACGACAAGGTGTGTTTGAGCTCGGGTCATCCATGGCTCGTTATTATATGCATATAGTATATCCATGTAATCTCTCGGCTGTGTATTAGAACATGGCGGATCCTTTGTTTACATTCTGTCAAGCTCCACGAGCTCTTGACGTATCTCTGTAGCCAATCAGCGTTCGGCTGCGTGTGTAGCTCCACCTTTTGGTACCCCTTCTTGTTTTTGATACCCTTTTGGAAAGGTGCCGAAAAAGTGGAACAGTACGGTTTGGTTCGGTAAGCTTATTAACAGTGGAAACTGTTGCCATAAAAGCATACCAAACCGAACCGTACCACTCAGTGGAAACGGGCCACAAGCGTACCGAACCGAACCAAACTCTGGTGGCTGAAAATTGCTTTAAAGCCACAAAGTGCTTCAGTTCTTCTGTCTGCTTCTTCTTCTTTGGTCCTAGTCCCATATGGTTGCGGGGTCGGCTCTTTGGAACAAGTCCTCCATTTAGACTTTTCCAGGCTGCACTTCAGCTCTTCTGTAAATTTCGTAAAAGCTCTAAACAAGTAAGATCAGGTAAATCTGCGCAATCAATCTACCAAACACTGCTTACTCGTTTCAACATTTCCTTCTGTTTCTGAACACAAACCAATGTATTCTGGAGATTTTTGTAAACAGAGCTGCCATTGACATCCATAGTAGGATCAACAATACTGTGCAAGCTAATGCTAATGGCTAATCTCCCTCAGTTTTCAACAGAGAAAGAAGCTTGAACAGATTTGGATGGATGAGTAAATGATGACAGAACTGTCATTTTTGGGTGAACTGTCTCTTTACTGGCGTGATGAGGATCTCCGGTTGTGTGAAGACACTGTGTTGTGTTGCAGATGCAGTGTTTCTATTCAAGTACTTCCTTTGTATGCGGGTCAAAGTGACCGTTAACCTATTTCCCTAGACACGTGTGACCCCCAACCCCCAATATCCCTTCCTCCCACTGACATCCCATGATGCTCGGAGGCATCGCATCTAAGCATGGGCTGGTATAAGATTTTCTCTGAATAAAAAACAACAAACATTTTCCCCATTGAACACAATATATCTTATTTTAAGAAACACTTAAAATATTTTAGAACAGTAAACATGTGGGGCTAAATAATTAATCTAAATCATTAAACATCAATTAAGGCACAGATTTCTGTACATTTTGAAAAGGATATCTGTCTTTTCATTCGTTCATTTTCCTTTGGCTTAGTCCCTTGATTCATTAGGAGTCGCCTCTGGAGAATGAACCACCAACTTAGCCAGCATATGTTTTACACAGTGGATGCCCTTCCAGCTGTAACCCAGTACTGGGAAACACCCATACGCACTCATTCACAAAGATTGACTACGGCCAATTTTAGTTGATCAATTCACCTACAACACATGTGTTTGGACTGTGGGGGAAACCGGAGCACCCGGAGGAAACCCACGCCAACATGGGGAGAACATGCAAACTCCACACAGAAACACCAACTGACCCAGCCAGGACTTAAACCAGCGACCTTCTTGCTGTGAGGCGACAGTGCCAACCACTGAGCCACTGTGTCACACCTATCTGTAGTCTTTGGATATAAAGTAAAGTTAAGGTCTACAGTATGCTTGGGTGTTGTTTTTTAAGCGATTTGTTTTTTTTGTGAAGATACCGTTGCCCTCCAAAACTAAATAAAATAGTCGTAAAACCCTGCTGAAATATCCAGCTTAAACCAGCCTAGGCTGGTTGGCTGGTTTTAGTTGGTTGACCAGCCTGGTTTTAGAGGGGTGTTGGCCATTTCCAGGCTGGTTTTCAGCCATTTACAGCCTGGTCTTAGCTGGTCAGGCTGAAAAATGACCAGCTTAATCCAGCTAAAACCAGCTTGACCAGCCTGGTTTAAGCTGGACATAGCTGGTTTTGGCTGGGCTCTCAGCCTGGCTAGGCTGGTCAAGCTGATTTTAGCTGGTCATCTCCCAGCCTGACCAGCTAAGACCAGGCTGGAAATGGCTGGAAACCAGCCTGGAAGTGGCCAAAACCCCTCTAAAACCAGCCTGGTCGACCAGCTAAAACCAGCCAACCAGCCTAGGCTGGTTTAAGCTGGATTTTTCAGCAGGGAAAGCATGTAAAAAAATACAAACACCATAGGAACAGTATAACAGAACCTTGACTTTTCCACCCTGCTGTAAACTGGGTATAATCATCCCATGCCTAATCCGATCACACAGCCAAACACGTAATATATGAATACAGATCAGTTCTGTACAAATATGGATGATCCATTGGCTTCAGGCACACAGGTGATGCAGAAATCGCAAGTT